CAAGGAGCTGATGCACTAAAACTTGTCTTAAAAATACGCTTCAGACTGTTTGTATTCATCAAACACACAACAACAACCTAGACCTAATAAGTTTGAATAAGGAGTAACAGTTCCTAAGAACTAAGAAATATTTTGAAATAAAGTGTAAGAACAGTTTTTCTGTACATGCACAATGTGTTAGTACTGCATTTGGCGGAAAACATCAGTCAGAGGTTTTGTATTCATAGTATCATAAGTAGATATAAGTGAAATAGATGAAAGTTTTTCTGTTGAGATGTGTTCTTGTCTGTGCTCATTCAAATGTCGAAATGTATACGGATATACTCAAATTACCTATCTAATCTGACGGTTACTTTGAGGAGGAGCTTCTTTCAAGTACGCCAGTTCGATTAAGGACTAAATCTAGCATGATTAATTTTTAGCAAGGAGTTCAACTAAACCCGTATTTTTGTAGTGCATACTCCAGGAAAAAAATATTGTTGGCTGATGTTTTGGCAAGCGAAAAGATTTCTATTACAAGTTTCAAGGAGTATAGCGCTCTTTCATCATAGTTTTGTGAGTGCATTTTTCTTCGTGACCTCTCAGAAAATTGAATATAATCTGTTTTTCGGGTGCATGTTGATATCGCCACCATAGTATAGTTCCTTGGACTATTATTGAGTATCAGTGTGGAAATATCAATTTAAGTAGATGTATTTATGACAAAAATGTGCATTCAGACCCGCATACCATCGTGGACAAAGAAATCGATCCTAATATTAACGCACAGACATCCATTCACTCTTTTGACACGTTGGACACTTGTTGTTTTGAAGAATGTAACGCAGTATAGAACATCAAAGAGTCGAATATATAGTCGAGGGTGAAGCGAGTCAGATATACGAGCGTTATCTGTTAGATAAGTTTGTCTCTAAAAAGATTATTGGAATATTTTCTAAAAAATATATAAGAAAAACCCGGGACATATAATTCAATGCGTCCTCATCGCCATTTTCGAACCGCAGCAACCGCACGTCTCTACCTTGTTTTTGTCAATAGTTTTTCAAAAAATATTGAATCCTACTTTTAAAAATAAGTACTAAGAGAAGTAGCACATATAGTACTGAGATACCTATTGGAAGTCTATCATTGGAATATTACTTCAGGTATTAGTATATTGCATATAAAGACAGCTTTTCTCCGCTGTATGCTACTCTCACTACTTTTGTTATTCTCTAGGTATTCTATCAAAAAGTTCGCATAATGTTTCTGTGACTCTTGAAGGGAGATCAAAGCTTAATTCACTAGACTAATGAAAAGCATCACAAAATCTACTAGAAAACATATAACAACAAGTTTTCATTGTTACAATGATGAAACTGGCTTGAGTTTCGTTTATAATTTAGCTTCAAGCGATGGTATACCTAGTCTTAGCAAACTTTTATGTACAAACAACATAAGGGTGTAATTAACGTCTGTTTACCGAGAATCCATATAAAATAATTTTATCTGACTCAAAGTATTCTATTCGATACAGTTTTTACTGCTCGCTTTGAATCTAAAGCTGATTTTGATTGTTGATCGTAAAATATTAGACCAAATAACTGAACAATATAAAACTCCTACTACTAAAAATGTTAACACAGCAGCGTTTTTTGTTCTTCTTCTCATTTTCTTAGGAAATGACACCTGCATAAAAAGTTGTCTACATTGATTGATAGAGCAGAAGCTCCTCTATCAAACTGCAGGTCTGGTTTTCCGAATGAATTCTATTTTCGAAGCAAATAATGAGCATACATTTTCGCATGTGTTAGCTATTAAGTGGAAAAGAGCAGCTGATAAGGTTCAAATAAAAATAATTTAAATGTACCTTAAAAAATAGATGAGCTTGAAGATTTTTCGATGTTACACACGAATCTGGAGTTGAAATTTTGACTAAAAAATACATTTAGATTCGTATTCCCCAAAATAATGAAATCGACTACATTTGGAGTCAGAGAAAATAATCAAAAATGCGTATTTTCGTACTTTGTGAATTTCTCTCCAATTGCACGATCAATAACAGACGTTTTTTGTAATCAAAATGATCAGCATAAAAGTTCTATCAAATGATGCTATTTGACGACCAATCAGAGATCACACATGTTACGTCAGGAGAAACTCCATAGAATTACCCAAATACTTTATAAAATGTAGATCCATGAAAAGTTTAGCTGGCAATAAAGATCTCACTTGACTCGACTTTTATTTTCAAGTCATGAGAAGTATCAAGTTAAAAATAATTTACATCAAGATCAATTCATTTTTTGATATGACTTATCCAATATTTAAGCTGAAAAATTTGACGAACTATATATAGCAGTTCTCCTTTACTTTCAACAGTTTTTAATCCTATATTTCTAAAGGAAGCCAAAAAAGTATCGCCGAAATATAGCAGAAATATGACAGTAAGAAAGTTTCTTATCAATCACGTTCGCTGTTTTCCACATGTGAATAATTAGTGACTGTCAATACTCTGTTAATCCTGGTTGCAAATTGCTCATCGATTGAGGTGTGGAAATTTTCTTTATGACTGGTCTACCCTTCTTTGGTCTTTTTAGAAAATTTATCATGTTCACATATATCCGTTGACTGTTCCTTTAACTATATGTGAGAGTACTAGATCCATAGCAGAAATCGGCGAGTCAGCCAAAACTGCGACTCGCCACCGCCTTGCCATATTGACAACATATCTATTGCTGCCTCGCCTCGTCTCACCTACAGTCTATTATAAAAACGGTTTTATTAAAGAAGTTCTTCGGCTAATCACAATAATCACTATGTAGCTTATTGCTTTTCATCAAGTTAAGTACATTTCATATATATAGATAAGTGCAAAAAATAAAAATACAAAATGAGATACAAATAAGTAGTGCTGTGATAATGGTTCAATGAGTTTTTGTCGAAATTCAGATCTATATTGATTAGCTAATATTTCGACTTGAGACGAAATAGTATTAGCACCAAAAAATATGTTATCGACATGAATTTTCCATACTTTGCCTCTATAGAGTAAAATAAGAGAATGAAAAAAAGAATATTTAAGGATAGGTTGTGTAATACCTAAAGAAATACATTCTCGAATGAAAGATCGAAGTCCTTGATCAATGACGGTAGAGTATAGTCTGATACCCAATACAGAACCGCTCTACAAGAAAGTTTTCTATTTTGTTAATGTTTTCTTCAGTTATTTTAATCGACATTGGGTGGTTACAGTTGAAAGAAAACATATTTGTTTTAAAGGTGATGAGGACGTTGTATCAGTGTTTTGAAGATCTTATAGGTGAACATCCACAAATGTACTTGTTCATTTGCGAGATGCTATTATTATTTTAAGAATATGCTGCATAGCGACGTTTACATGAGACAAGATTGTTTAATTTTGTCACCGCAACACGTTAATTATCAGTAACAGCTGGAAAACGAAACTGAGACTGACAACTTGTCGTATATTTCTTTTGTATTTTCGACTATGGTTAAGTTTCCATCTTTGCGCATGAATCAATTATAGATCCTTCTACATGACATTCGAGAAATATCTGATAATGTATGATCAGCATTGCGAGAATCGGAACAAGTTTCTTCTGTTACATAGATAATATCATTATAAGAAGAATAATAGCTTGTCGAGTAATAATACGTATCTAGATTAAAACATTTATCGTAAAAATTTCCACTACCTAATATAACAGAGGTCACATTAGTTAAATTCACGATGGTAATTGTGTAAGGCTTCAAATAGGCTCACTTAATTTGAAGTCAATTAACCAATGTTATTGACGTCGTTACATGGTAACACCAATCATGTTTCTTAATTCGTTTTGAATTAAGTCAGTCTGTTTGGGACCTAAATCAAATTGTTCGACAGACCAAAAGTAGATGATTATGTTTGCGTGAATATTCATACTCATTTATTGTTGTGATTAGTTTTAACTTCGTCGCCAATAGAAATTCTTTAAGAAGTGAACAATAAAATCAGGAGATAATATTCATGATCTGCCATTTACTCGCTAACAATTACATTTTAAGTAGACGAGTGGACTCAGCGAGTCTCGAAATCAACTTTCACTCGTCACGGTGCGTAAAATCTTGGTCCGCCTCGCCTTGTGACGAAGCGAGAAAACTTCACGAGTCTGTGATCTCTGGTCTGTAGCTCTTTTTTCACATAGAGTATGCATGATGGCATAGCTTCTTTCAGTACAGGGTTAGCGACGTTTGCGTCGCGTTACTTGTCATTAACAGAGACTTCAGAAGAAGGTCTTTTTCTTTTCAGAAGTCATATTTTATTTTTGATAAAGGAATAGTTTTCTCATTAACAAGGGAAGATTATTTTATACTCACTCTTATTGTTCCTATTAAGTTGTTTGAATATTTAACCTCTTGAATACCGCTGTCTTCAGACTTAAGACAAGCAGGGCTAACTAAATCGATCAAATTTTACAAATGACAATGATTCTTTGGCACTTTCGCAAAAAATCATGGAAACTTTTCTGCTTCGTAATATCTAAAAACGGTTTGGTGCTTCTGCAGCTTTCTCGAGATATTGAGAAAAATGTAGCTCAGATGGCGCTAATTTTACAGCCATTTGGCACTAGATCGCGGAATATCTGGAAAAAGCTGCAGAAGCTCGAAATCGTTTTTGTATGTTCTGAAGCAGAAAAGTTCCCATAATTTTCTGTGAAAGTTTCAAACAATCATTTTCAGTTGTAAAATTCGGTTGATTTCGTTAGCGCTGTTTGTCTTCAGTATGAAGACAGCGGTATTCAGGATGTTCATGGTATATATTTTTCTTTCATTTATATTCGTCTATTTAAACTGCCAATAAATTTTATAAAGTGTATGAGTCATTTATTTGATTCGCAGTAGGGTGATTGGGGGCACTACCCTCTTTTGCGTTATAAGTTACCGGGTGCAGTTTATATAATTTTTTGGTTGTTTCACATTTTCAGAAAATCTATCTAAGAAGTCTATAATTAGTATACATGGCTACCTTACGAGCTAAAGCTGTATTGATTGGTGATGAAATTCATGTTGCTGGTAACAAAAACCAGTGGGGTCGTGGAGGTGAAGGAACATCATGTGAAGAAACATCATGTGGAGGAACATCATGTGAAGAAACATCATGTGAAGAAACATCATGTGAAGGAGCAGCTAGTACAACAGTTGGGTCATCAAAAAAACCAGTTTATGGTGTTATTGAATTCGAGCAAGTTGGTGATACAGTTGCTGTAACAGGAAAAATTGAAGGACTTGGAGAAAATACAGAACATGGCTTTCATATTCATGAATTTGGTGATGTTAGCAACGTAAGTTTTAGTATTATTATGTTTTTTGATTGATATAGATTTATATATTTGATTTCATAGGGATGTACATCAGCTGGTCCACATTTTAATCCCCATCAAAAACAACATGCCGGCCCTGATGATGCTGATCGGTAAACTTAGCTCTTGTCTGTTCTGTTTTATTCTTAGAATTCGATTTTGTTTTCTTTTTTAAAGACATGTAGGTGATTTAGGAAATGTTCAATCAGATGATGATGGTGTGGCAACAGTGAATATCAAAGATGAAGTAATATCTCTTCATGGTGAACATTCAATTCTTGGTCGTTGTTTGGTTGTTCATGAAAAACCAGATGATTTGGGTCGTGGTGGTGATGAAGAATCGAAAAAAACTGGTAATGCTGGAAAACGTTTAGCTTGTGGTATTATTGGTATTGTAAATCCGGAATAAAAGTAATTCAATCAAATAAACATTCGCTTCGCTCGAAATTAGTCTAGATTTTTCTTTTGAACCTCTTTAATTTTTCCTCTCATATGTCATTGATTAGTTCTTAAACAAACAAGCTGTTTCTTGTTCATTGTTAGTGATGATATTTTCAAATTAAACATCATTATGTTTTTGTTCTTGATTAAAGGTTACTTCTTCGTTTGTTCATTTTAAATAAAAAAAGGATTCGCAATTTTTGTGATTAATGGTAACTTGGTTTTTTTTGATAGACATACGACATCATTTTAGATTGGAATGAAAATGTTTATTATAGATATTGGTAAAATATAGATTACGTCATAGAAACTGTCGAGTTTTTTGGATAAATAGGAAAAAAGATGTTTGTGTATGAATACAAAACATAGAAAATAGATTTCCTTAAAGTGAAAATAATTTAATTCATGCAGTTACTAAATATAAATTGAAAGAAAATGAAAAATGTTTTGATGATGATGTAAGCAAAAAAATAATTCTGTACTGTAAGTGAAGTGTTAAATAATGTTTACAAAACTATGCATAAACAAGTACAAATGATGTTATAAGTTGGATTAGGTTTCATTTGTTTAGAAAAATTTTTCAATCTGGATCAAAACACTAGATAACAGGTGATGCTTTTACTCTTTTTTTTAATTGATTGCTTTTCTTAATTGTTATCCAACGTAACAGTAAGACTTTTAATAAATAAATTTTATTAGTTTTTAGATACAAAACTCTATTAATATAATGCCAAGTCAACAAGACTCAGCTACTGTTTGAGCTGCATGTGTTCTTAAAGGTAGTGAAAATAATACCATTCAAGGAGTAATACATTTGCTCAAATGATAGGCATGAATCAAATGAAAATAACAGGTGAAATACAAGGTTTACCAATCCATAGTAAATTTTCTATACATGTACATGAATTTGGTGATTTAACAAATAGTTCTATATCAATAGGTAGTTGTTTTCATGTAGAAAAACAAGTTCCAAGTACATCAAAAGATCAAACATCTTAAGTTGGTGATGAATTTGGTAATTTACAAGTGAATCAAGAAGGTCAAGCTAAAATTGATGTTATTGACAAACGATTAACTTTATTTAGTCCATCGTCTACTATTGGTCGATCAGTAGTAATTATTGATGAAAAAGAGGAAGAGTTAGCACGTGTTGAAACTGAAGAAAATAAAGGAACAACTACAGTTGCTACTAATCGAATTGCTGCTGATGTTATTGGTATTTGTCAATGACGAATCTCAGTTTAAAGATACATTTTCATTGAATATTTCTTTTAGTAATAATGAATTCCGTCCAAATTTTCTCTTTCCGTTTTTTTCTTTCTATAAGTCTTTTCCATTAAATTGTTTAACAAAAGAGAATTTCTTTTTCTAGACTAAGTTTTATTTTTATTTCTTTGAATTTTCATTATTTTTGTTTTTTTGGTCATGGAATCAAGAGATAGAAATTATGGAACTCCTGCAATTAATCGATCTCGCACAGGTTTGAATTCGAATCATTATTAAATTAGAAAAAAATTTATAACAATTCTAATAATAAGACGAGCAACATATAACAATATCTAAATCAAATCTTGATTTAGTAGAATTTATTTAATACCTATAGCTGCACAAAAAAGAATAGTACAAGTTGAGCTATATCAAATAGAA